CTCAGGGCACACCCGCGAGGACGCAGGGCGAGCGGTGGCTTCCCCCCACCCCCTTTTAGGGGGACCCCCGAGGGTGGGGGCGGCCGCCCTCGTGGGAGCTTTTGTAGTGAAGTTAGGGTTTGGCGAATTTGGGTCCCTTCCTCCCCAGCCCCATTTTTTATTCTTTGCGGCGGACGTGGTTCCCCCAAATCACAGCCCCTTCCCCTAATACCTAGCCCTGTATGATCGAAAGGAGAAAGATACATGACCGTGTGTGTGTGTGTGTGTGTGTGTGTGTGTGTGTGTGTGTGTGTGTGTGTGTATAAGAGAGAGCGGGCGCGAGAGCATGCTTGGTTTTCAGTGGTTTGCTTTTTTTGAGGTATATGTGTGTTTTGTGTTATGTGTGTTTGGTAATTTTTTGGTAATTAGTACCGATGGCTGGCTAGCTGGGACCTGGGTCTCTGCCCTATCCCATACCCCAGCCCCCCACCCTCTCCTGGGCACTTGCACGATTTTCCATCCCATCCTTTTTTCCCCTTTAACCCTTTTTGTGTATCGCCCTTGTGCTATTGCCCTGCTCACCCCGCCCCCCGCAACTATCTTTGTATGACAGTTGCATCCACGGGTTCAAGATGCTTGGGCGTGTGTGTGTGTGTGTGTGTGTGTGTGTATGTATGTGAGTGTGTGTGCATGTGTGCGAGTGTGTGTGCGCGCGCCTCGGAGAGTCAGACCTGCGCTGCTGTGCCCCTCTGGGCCCGGCTGGAGCGGGGCGTCCGGCCCTTGGGTGTTGCGCTGTGTGTGAGGATGAGGTGGGAAGCTGCCCCCACGCCAGGCCTTTGCCCCGGGCAGCGGTTGACAAAGCAGCGGGCCGGCGCGGGCTTTGTTTTTAACTGTGATAAATGGGGTGTGTTTGCACGGTCCCCTTTCCCCACATCCCCTCTCCCTCACATTCTGCTACAACAATAGCTTGATTTTCCCCTCTTCTCCCCACCTCCACTCCACATTTCTTTCATTTTCTTTTAATAAAAAATTCCCACCTCCCAAGCAAATCCGAGATGCATTTAGATTCATTTTTTTTCTTTTTTGTATTCTGCCTCTGGACTCACATTTCTCGTCTTGGAAATGTTTCTTCTATCCTCTCCCACTCCACGTCTGCTTAAATCCCTGCTGGCTCAGGCCCTCCTCCCCCTCTCCCCACTCCCTCACACACAGAATGATGTCTTCCCTTGGCCGACCAGGGCTCCTCTACCAAGTCGGGGTGGGGGGTGGGGTCGCAGGGCCAGCGCTTTAGTGCGCCCCAGGGGCCCGATTGGGCAAGAAAAGGAAAGCCCAGCCCTATTTTATCCAGCCCAGCTGTCCCCAGCCCCGCGCCTCTCCCCAGAACCTAAAAGGCAAGCTTGGCCCCCTTAGGCCTGTTTGAACCGCAGTTTTTTGTGTGATGATAGAATGATGACATTCTGCATTTATCAAATCTTTTTTTTTCTTCATTGTGTAGCTCAGTGAATGGTCAACTCGCTGCTGTGTGCGCTGTGACCCTTCTGCCTCCGCATTTAGCTGTATTGTGACACCCTCTTAACCATTTCCTGTCTCCATCTGAGGAAGGCATTGCTATTTAAGCGGCAGTATCCCCTATCTCAGGCCAGCCTAGCCATGGGGGTGAGGGGGAGTGGGTGTGTGAGGAAGAAAGAGGGGGGCTGGATGCGATCTCCTTGAAATGCCACCCCCTCCCTCAATACACAATTATCTCTTATTACTTGGCATTTCCTCTTAAAACGGGTGTGGAACATTACACTAGGCAGAAATTCAAAAATGATTAAGAAGGATGTTGAGCCTGAAAGTATAATTATCCTGATTAAATCATTACCATCCTCATTAATACCACCAATCTCTAAATACCATTGCAGGATGCTGATTCCATGTTTTGAAATTCAAATTGCTCAGCTGCCTTTAAATTTTATTTTTAATACTACTTTCTCCCTCACCGCCCCTCCCCCCTCAAAAAAAAATCCAACAACACAAATTCTGCCCATCAGTTAAAGTTTACTTTCGTGGCAAACACGCCCACAGGAAATTCAAGGGCTGAGGGGTGAGTTGGTCTGTGGGTAAAATTTAGCACAATGTGGTAAGAGTTCATGACCTTCCGATAGAGGATACTAATGCTTAACTCAACAAGGTCCTAAACCACAATCTTCTTGTAAAACTATTAGAGAGTCTGCCAGCTTAAATCTGTTCTTTTTAGTTTCCATTGTAGTAGTGTAGGATGTAGGCCATTTCAGAATAGATGTAGAGAAATAACCATTTTTGTATCTTCATCTTGTTTAGCCGAGTACATTGCACTGTAAATCCCTGTTAAGTGGATTCCTTTTGCCTTGGCTTAGAGGCTGCAGCACCCCATTTTTCAGTTATCTGGGTGGCTGTCAGTTAGCTTCTTGGCAGCGCCCAGGCATAACTGAGGATTGCACTTAGTTGGAGGCAAAAAATATTAAACATGTGTATTAAAAAAATCTTTGATGAAATGACAGTTGCTGCTATACCATAGCCTCTGAAAACTTGGTGCACCAAGGTCCCTGGCTTAAATGGGAGCCGTGGCCATAGTGTCTTAATTGTTTAATTGTACAATGTCAAGAGCATCTTTGGACATCCGCCCCGGCCCTCAGAGCTGCCCCTTTAACAGCCGGCTCCCTTCTGCTGCTCGCCAGCCAGACCTGCTTGAAAACTGAAACAAAACAGCAGCAATAATGAAAGAATAAGGCCCCTACTTTGAGGGCCCTTCCAAAATAAAGTCCCAAATAGCCTCCCCAGACTGCCATTTGGCAATCTGAAAAGAAAGAGAAAAAGAAAAGAAAAGAAAAAAGAATCCCAGCAAAATGGTTTTCCATTAAACAGGGGTAGCGTGTTCTGCTGTGCTGAATTACTTCCTGTTCTTATTTTGTGGGTAATTTTTTCTGTATCAAATATCCTTTTGGTTGTGTATCTTTTTCACCTTTTCTTGTACTAAAACTAAAGCATGATCTGTATTTTTTTACATCCCCCAGTTGACAATGTACAGCGCTCGGTTAGAGATGTTACCCTGCTGAAACGTACTGTGGTCGTGTAGCCCGGGCCATCTGCTCATTGTACGCTGCTTTTGTTCTGTTGCCCTTCCGAAGCATGGTGGGCCCAGCCTTTTTTTTTGTATCGTGTGCATGACGACATTGTTACACACAGAATCCACTAATACTAATATACAATCTCTCAATAAAGAACTAGTTTTCCTATATTAACCTAGTGTGCTTTTTCTCTTGCTGTTTTCCCATTTATTGTCGTATCCTGCTGTTTAGATTTTCCCCCTTGCTTTTCTATCCCCACCCTCACCCACCCACCACTCCCACCTCCCATTGTAAGATTTGAGTGAATGCCTTTTCTTTTTACTTTACTTTTTTTTTTTTTTTTTTTTTGTGGTACAGATATGGTGACTTTAATCTCATTAGTCCATATCTTTTCACAATAGATGTCTGGGGCGATAGGAGGGGCCAGTTGTCCTGTTACACTGAAACAGTTCACCTGCCTAGAGAGAACCCCTACCTTTGGCCACCTGTGTACTCAATAGCCTCCACATTTCATCTTAGTTTTCAAGATACATGGGCACTGGGTTTATGATGCTGGTGAAGAGAAGGGGATATAACACTTAGGTTGAGAAAAGGGATACTGTTCTTAACTAGCAATCTTGTAGCATTTCAGACTCGCCTAAAAACCCATTTTGAGTTGTGTTTTAACTTTTCTGTTTGCTGTCTCATTGATTTACTGTCCTTATAAATCATGCTGGGGGTGACATGTTACATGTAGCTGAAGCCATGATCTGGAATTTTAAAGTACCCTCTTCTATGTGCATATTTAAATTTTTAGGACTTGCAATGTAAGTTTTGCATTGAGATCCTGGATAAGGAAGATGTTTGAAACAGAAACTGACTCAGACCACTCCCACCCCTGTCCCAGGGCCAACAGGGGACCTGTTACTGTAGGAATAAGAGGGTCTGTGCCCTCTGCAGGCTGTGAGCCAGTTAAAGCTGATTATAGCCTAGTTTCCTGACAGCTGCTTCATCTATGGCCCTAGGGCCTCTCTTAAGAGAAAGACAGCTAAGATCTCAGCCATTGTCTAAGTGTGTGTTGAGGTGGCGAAGGGGGAGGGGGAGATCAGGAGCAAAGTCAGGACCTAACCCAAAATTGAGTTGGAAAAAGAACCCTTAAAACGTCTTTTTTCCATAATTACATTGGAGAAGCCAGTGGAGAGGTATTTTTTCCCCCTTGGAGTGGAACCCAAATTCAGCCATTTGTCAATTACACCTATTCAATTTCAGCCCAGAAGGAGCCTTGCTAAATGAGGCATTCTAGACACTGAGGCAAAGAGTTGATTAAAGAAATTCCCGGTTATTTCAAAGGGTCATCATTTTGGAGCTGCTCCTCTTTTGGCCAATGTGCCTTGTCCTTGCTCCCCTGGGCTGACTGACTCCCGGGCTCACCCTGCTCCTCGCTGGCGGGCGCACCCCTGCCTGACCACAGCGCTTCCTTGCCTTCTTTGTGGCTTCATGCAACTCTCCTCTCCCCCCATGGCTGCCCTCTCTGCTCTGGCCCTTTGTTCTCGCGCTCTTCCCAGCCCGGGTGGGAAAGCTGAGCTGATTTACTGTGACACATGGACACACATGGATGTTCCCAGTGGAGGCCCTGCTGTAGTTTGTGAGAGAGGAGAGGTACAGGTCTACAAGGCTAGTCCTCTGAAGATTTTGCTTGTTTCTTCTTCTTCTTTTTAAATTTTCATTTACACGAGACTTAGAAAGCAAAGCAAACCACTCCAATCCAACCTCAACAATAGTAAAACTACCCTGAATTGAGTGATCACTCTCATATTTGCCCTAGAGAACAGTGGCTCGTTAGATCAATCTTAACCAATTCCAAGATTTCATTTTTCTAAATTTTTGTTAAGTATGTCAGAATTGTTTGAGAATACCTTTTGAGGATGACTAGTAACCTAGTAATAATATAGCAAGCTGTGGGTTAATGGGAAATCACGTTTTAGCAATGGATCCAGTGCATTTAATGTTTGAACCAGATTGTCTGAACTAAACACTTACATATTAAGGAGACTTTCCTGGTGACTGGACGATTCAGGAACTACAAAGCCATTGTTCTTTATATTTATTCTCTCAACCACCTGACACATACCTGTTTTAGCACCTTGACTTCAGGATTTTGGAAAACCCATCAGTTCAGGGAATCCTATGTCATAGGCTTTGAAGTAAGATGGAACACAGCTCTTCTTTCTGAACAAGAGAACTTCTCTTGAAACTAGCATCAGAAAGACCCACTAAGTTAATGAGTTTTCTTTAATAATAATTTTCCACAAACCAGCAAATACTATTAATCACTCAAATTCAGGGAAAAGACCACCAAGAGTGTTGAGGCCCTAAAGTGCAGATGACAGAGCCTGGACCACCCATCTTCCTTTTGTAGTTTTCTCATCTGCTGCCCCACCCTGTTCTTCCCATCTTTAAGTAAGTATCCTGCAGTGGCACATTAGAAGATTTAATGGTTTTCTAGGCTACTGAAGCAATAGTTCTGTGCAGGATCCAAGGGCAGCAGGGACCCCTTATCTGAAACAAAGGGCAGGAAACAACAGGTCCTTGACTCCAATTCAGGGTGTGACTTTGGTTCCCTCAATCCTACTCCACAATTGTCACACAAATCTCCAAGACACTTGTGCCCCAGTTTCTCTATGGATCTAAACAACTTTGTAAAAATTCCCGCCTTAACGCTGTATGAATATGAATTAGTATTTATTAGTTTCCGGTATGGTTTAGCTACAGATCAACCAATATATTTCCAAGAGAATTGGGGGCTTATCTTGGAAAGACTCAGAGTTTCAGGAGGATTTAAGAATCAAAAGCAAACACTTACAACCGCATAGCCAAACCACATGCAATGCCTGTACTCCATGTGTCTAGTTGTTCATTCATTCACCTACTCACCTGTTTGTTCATTCAGTTAATGAGTGTTCTTTGAATACTTACTTGGGGCCAAACACTGCGCTAAGGGGGATACAGAAGAAATGGAGACCCGAGTGCCTCCCTCCTGGGGCTTATGCTGAGGTTGAGGGATGAATGCTTAGGAAACCAGATACTGTCTAAGATGTTCTGGGCCAAAATGTCCACATGAGTGGCAGAATGTCCTGACTGGTGAGATAAAAGAGCATGGAGCAGTCCAGGGTTTGAGTCCTAGCCCAGTCTTGACCTGAAAGGGTGAACTTAGGCCACTGCTTTGAGCATCCTCTGAACAATGACTGATGACTGCCATGAAACCTACCTGATAGGCTGTGTCTATGCTATTAGAAGATACCTCGCACACAGCAGGTGCCTAGGAGGTGCCAGACAGCTGCCCCTTCCCTTCACAACTGTAGGTGTTTACTGGCCAGGGGATCAAATAAGGTCAGAGGTGAGCTTGCTGCAGAGACGGGTTTGCGATGTGCCTCAGAGGGTGGTATGTATACAGAAGGGAGGAGGAGGAGGAACAGGAGAGAGCACCCCAGGTGGAGGGAATGAGTGATTTTGGCCAAGGCCATTGGCTCTGCTGATTTGGCAAGAACAGAGAGTGCATAGCAGGAGGGAGGAGTGTGTGTTGATTGGGGGGCACGTGTGCAGGCCTACAGGGAGCACCGGGATCATTG